GGGAGGTGCCATCTGCCTTCTTGCGGCTTCTGGTAAAAGCCAAGAGGAAGAGGAAGCTAAAGGAAGGGCCCTTGGGCAAAAGGGAGCCTGATGTCCAGGCCTGGGAAATTCTCAACCTCTCCCGACACCAAATGGTGTCAAAATTAAGAAAGGGCTCCTGGGCCAAAGACAAGTGCAGGGCGCTGTCAGGAAAATCTGCTCTAAAGATGAATCTAGAAGTGTGATTGGGTCTTGGTCTGCTTGGGCTGCTGTAACAAATAGCAAGTCCCACAGACAGGGTGGCTGGAACAACCCTGTCCTCCACCGGGCGTCTATGACAGCTGAGGGTTATTTTTTTCTTCCAGTGGAATGAGCCCCAAAGTCTTACAGAGAACTGTAGTGGGAGAAACATGGCCAGCGTGGGCTGGAAGGCAGAGAGCACACATTGAAATGATGCCTCTGGACCCTGGACCTGGTACAGGTGGGAAGCAGACTGAGAAAAGGATGCCCCAGGAAAAGGTAGGATGACCCAGAGGGAGAAACAGAGGCAGGCGGAGTGGGTGTGAGAGCCGCGGAATTTGCCCCAGGAGCTGTCCGCTGGTGCCGCCTGCCTTTCACAAGGGCTCTGAGCCCATGACTTGGGCGCATCCCCACTGTCCCCCCTGGATGAACAGACGGCCTACAGCACCGTCCCCTGCTTGTCCCATCATTGTCTGTCGTTGAGTGTGGGAGGGGGTGGGTAGCTTGTCTCTAGTTCACAAACTTCAGATCCGAGAGAAGTGGATTTGAGGGCTCAAGGAGCCTCGTCAGTATGGATAAACTGACACTCCACGAGGATGAGGCTTTAGGGGGCCTTGGGAGAGGCTGAGCACACCTTGCACGTGGGAAGGCCATGGACCACTGCAGGACAGAGGGCGAGTGCGGCCGCCAGCCTCCAAGACGCCCCCTACGGATCCCTCCCTCTGTTGTTCTCAGGCCTGTGCTGTCCGTCCCTTCCGGAATGGGACTGACCCACGGAACCAACAGCACACTGGAGAACTGAAGCGTGCGACTTCCGAGGTAGTTCTAACACTGCGACTTCCTCTTATTCTCGCTCGGGGCCCTTGCTCTGGGAACAGCCAGCGGCCACGTCATGAGGGCACCTGAGCAGGCCTCTGCTGACAGAGAGCGTGGACTTGCCAACCGTGCACGGGAGCCACGCTGGGGGCAGACCCACCGGCCTCCTTCAGATGGCCACAGAGCCCTGGCTGGCTCCTTTTACTGCAACCTCGTGAGAGAACACAAGCCCCATGATCCTACTAAGGTGCTCTTTAATTCCTGCCCCATAGGCACTATGCAAAAATAATACGCTTAGTATCGGGTTCAGCTGCGACTGTGTGGGGTAATTTGTTAGCCAGCAACAGCTAACTACTACAGTATGGAAATAAACACATCAAAAATTTCATGCAATTGGTTAATTAATGATGAAAATAGGAATACAGCTCCCAGAGGAACTGTAGGAACTTGATATTTATGGGCAATTTAATGAAGGGCTGTTAGAATCTGAAGGCTAAGTTAATACAAAATAATACGAAACCGGTTCCTGTCCTACAGAGTAAGGAACTGCCACCTTTGGGTTATCTTTTCCACCAAACAGAAATCAGTGCCATCCCTGTCAGTCAAAAATCTAAAGTTCACACAGAACTTCCGAGACCTTTAATCAACAGGAAGCAGGGAATGGAGTCATTCTTTGCAGTGAGAGCCTGCTCTGTGGCTTGTTGCACGTTTAGCAGCATTGTGGCCTTTGTCCCGCTACTTGTCAGCAACACCCCCGCACTCCCCACCAGTCATGACAAACTGAGAACCACTGCCTCAGATTTTTAAGTAATCCTTGGGCAGACCTATCGAATGATGCTCATTTTGACACTGACATGACATGCCGTCCACTTTTTGGCCTCATTTCCAAGTTTTAAATACTTTCTCATAAGGAGCGTCTGTGAGCCAGGAACTGAGAAAAGAAGCTCCCTCCCATTTGACTGCTTCCAAGGAAAGGGGGTTCTGGCCCCCTGCTGCTGCCCCAGCTAAAACTGGACACAGTATGGTCTCCTTCACCCCCGCCCAGAAGGGGACAGGAAGGAACGGGTAGGGAGGGCAAATCCAGTCAGAATCAGGGATGGGGTCAGAGAGCTTCCGGGGTGAGCCTCATGGCACTATATAGAGACTTGCCTCAAAGCAGCTCAGGCAGGAAGATCAGCTGTTAGCCCAGGAGAACGTTAGGGAGAGGAACAGGATGCCCAAAGAGAACCCCAGGCCCTAACTAAGGTTTTTTGGGGTTTTGTTTGCTACCTTTTCAAAATCATTTTAAACATGCAAGAAAAGAAGAAATTTGAATTCACCTTTGGGGGCAGATTGATTCTTTGTTTTGAAAGGAACCAGTACGTTAATTCCTTCAATGAATTAATTCCCCTTTAAACCGATGAGGGATAGAAGCAGAAAAATGTTCAACCTTAGCCCGGAAGGCTGACCTACAGCCTGCCTAGTACCGATAAGGATCAAATACGTGCCGGTTGCTGCATTCTTAAAGTCTCCTGACTGCCTGTAAATCTCACCCATAGTTAATGTCGAGCTGAATGATAAGTAGCAGAGAAATCTCGCAAAAGTAGTTTTACGAGCAGAAATTCGAAGAAGACGTTTATGATCTAATACTCCCTGCATGTCCCCTTCCTGTTGAGCACCAAGCGTACAACCACCAGCCTCACACCGCAAAAGTGCAGCCCCGTCTGCCCACAGGCCCTGTCCCTGTGCTGCTTACATAAACTTACTAAGCTGCACCATTGAACACCGCAAGAATTCTTTCGTGGCTGTCACATTCGACAATCCCGCAACAAAACCATTACTTCGATTACTGAATATAAAGCAAATACTCACCATGCTTGTTGAGTCTGTTGGCCTGTATGTGGATGTTTGAGGCTGAGAAGCTCCATATTCTGCACAGAGTAAATGACAGAATCAGACCTAGACCTGAAAAAAAATTAAGGGGTGGAGGGATTGGTTTGCAGTGACTATACCTGCAGCCAGTGGGGTGATGTGTCTGCAGGAGGCCAGACTGGGTTGGAGAATTCCCCCACCAGGGAAGGAGGAAAGGCCAGGGCAGGGAACCGGTGGGGCTTGTTATCACTTAGCCTTTGGGGCGGCTGTGGCACTAAGATTAGAATTAAGGCCCAGTGAGGACTCATGTTAGACAGTCATGTTCGAATGGACCAGTTTCATCAGGGATCAAAAGGCAAGGGAGCACTCCGGAGGCCAAACGGGTGTCCCTCAAACCTAGGGGTTGTTCCTATTGTCAATCATCCTGGGAACAGGCTGGTCTTGAGACAGGGAACAAGGATCAGGGAGGCCAGCCTCTGACAGGAGAGATGGACATTCTTTCTGGGCCTCCCAGCAGCTGGGCTGGACCCTGAATCAAGGACATACACAAAGCCCTCCAAGGGAAGGAAGCCAGATGGGGGAGCCCCGGAAAGGACCCCAGGACAGACCTACCTAGAGAACCTAAGGGTAGCCACATCCAGTAGCCTTATCACTTACGTATGCTGTATTTCCTTCCCTCTCTTCCTCCCTAGCTCGTCACCCCAGCCTGGTTTCTGTTGTGGGGTAGGAATTCAAGGGAAAACCCTGTTCTGTGCCTAAAATACAGTGCCAAGTGCCAAAGCTGGCATTCTGCTAAGGACAACAGCCGGAGAGAGAGGAACAGTGGCCTGGCCCAAAGACAGAGCCTGTGTGCAACATTACAACCCCCAGATTGGACCTCTGAGAGGTCTCAGGAGGACTGAGGCTCTGAGCACATAGGGGGCCCAAGGTTAACAATTCCCAAGACTAACAAGCAACTGGGGAAATCATGGAAAGATGAAGTGTGGTTGAGGTGTGGTCACAGACAGGTTAGGCCTGGACATGCAGGCTCTTGATGAGTGATGGATAGACAGGCAGGCGGAGACACAGGTGGTGGGGGGGTGGATAGGCAGGTGGACACATACAGGTAAAGGATGGATGGTGGAGGCGTTCAGAGCATGTTACCTCAAAGGAGGCCACTTTGGCATATTGATTATTTTGAGTTAAAAGACTTAAGAAACAGCTGGTGTGGGGCATCTGGGTGGCTGAGTCAGGTAAGCATTTGAGTCTTGACCTCAGCTCAGGTCTTGATCTCAGGGTCATGAGTTCAAGCCCTGCATGGGCTTCATGTTGAGCATGGAGCCTATAAGAAAAAGAAGGGAAGGCAGGAAGGCAGGCAGGCAGGAAGGAAGGAAGGAAGGAAGGAATGAGGAAGGAAGGAAGGACAGAAGGAAA